AGTGTCTCCAATTTGGAGAGAGGAGAGACTTTTTAATGAAAGATTTTATAGTTTTGGTGTTCCTGAACTACTTTTTTAAAATCTGATCAGTAGTATGGATCATGTTATTTTTTTTATCTTTAAATGCATGACACGTTTGTTTAACCTCCCTAAAGTTAGGCTTGATGTAAGAATCAAGTTTAGTATCATCATAAGTTCATCATATGTTATTGTATAATAATGTTAAGTTTTCCAGCGATCATATCTTTTGATTGAATGCAACAATTTTACTAATGACGCTTAATATGCATTGTACATTTTTCATTATTTACACAAAAATTTTGTTCCTTAATAAACCCGTCCAGTTTCTAATTTTGGACACTTCTTTTCTAATTTACCAATCAGATTTGACTTTAACAGTGATTCTCGTCTTTTTCAGCCAGCAACCCCAAAATCCCCTCATTGACTCCTGTCAGCTATTTAATAAATGATAAATACACAAACAGTTGAAAACCTCTTGCGATCTAAATTTAGGTCATGACATCACTGGTGGAAATAACAAATCAGCTTACTTTATATTTTCTATTAAGCAATACATTATTTAAAAAATTGCTTTTTCTATATGCCTTTATGTTTTTTAATAGTGTAATTTTTCCCTTACTGATACATTTGAGTGGTTATTGAGTAGCAATTTTTCTTTAAATTCCATGTTGTAAAATAGTTTGATGTAAAACTCACCATTGCTTTTATTTATTCCAAGCATTTTATAATCCTGACGATGAACTTGTGTTCTTGCTATGCAATCCTTCACTTGCCAATAATGTTTTAACTTTTTACCATTGTTTATACATTATGTCACTGGTTGTTGAGTCCAGAGTTGTTCAAATGACATGTCACTGGTTTGTTGAGTCCAGAGTTGTTCAAATGACATGCCACCATACACCAAGTGCTCCTCCATAGATGTTTGAGGCCCATTGAGGCAATCTTTCAAGTGCTCTGCCATAGTTGTCATAGGCCCATTGAGGCAATCTTACAAGTGCTCTGCCATAGTTGTCTCAGGCCCATTGAGGAAATCTTACAAGTGCTCTGCCATAGTTGTCTCAGGCCCATTGAGGCAATCTTAGAATATTCTGTCATTATTTCCTCACACCATAAAATGGCATCAGTATTAATTTCAGGACTCTTAGTAAGTCGTTTTCTAATGAAATGGATTCAGTTGGTCTAAAATCTTTATCTATCCATTGATGGTTATAATCAATAAAGCTCTACTTTCTTGCTTAAATTATAAACAGTTCATTTTTATTAGGATTGAGACTTAACATTTATTGTTGACAAATAAAGTGAAGATTGTTTACCAGTAACAATGGCATCAGTAACAGATCTGGTCTCAATGTCTTGTTCCCTACCCAAGTTAATCCTTACCTCTGTAGCCAAAATTACTTTGTAAGACAGTAGTGGTTTCTGTTACTTTCTTTATAATGTCTGCAATGTTTCATACAATGACAGCTGATGCATAGGCCCAAACAAACAATGACAGCTGATGCGTAGGTCGAACAAACAATGACAGCTGATGCGTAGGTTGAACAAACAATGACAGATGATGCATAGGTCAAACAAACAATGACAGCTGATGCATAGGCCCAAACAAACAATGACAGCTGATGCGTAGGCCCAAACAAACAATGACAGCTGATGCATAGGTCAAACAAACAATGACAGCTGATGCATAGGTCAAACAAACAATGACAAATGATGCATAGGCCCAAACAAACAATGACAGCTGATGCGTAGGTCGAACAAACAATGACAGCTGATGCGTAGGTTGAACAAACAATGACAGCTGATACATAAGACCCTCATTACTCTATCTGTTCATTCAGTCCTAGTTTAAATACTGAACATTTTAAAGTTGATACATACATTTTTTTTTTAATGTCCTTTATTTATCATCCTATTACAGCTCAATTGTAAACTGGTTATCAACCACTAACTTTTTTTTTCCTGGTAATGGATAGGCCTACACATGCTCATGGTAGACCAATATGGTATTGTTAAATTCCATCAATTTACTAGGAGATATATTTTATTGTTAAATTCCATCAGTTTACTAGGAGATATATTTTATTTTCATTGCTCAACCAGGTTTTTAAAATTTATTTTTAAAAAAAGATCAGCCTTTTCTCCACTTATTTCAATTTATTGACAATCAATATAGCTGGGAGTGAGGAAATTATTTCTTAAGGAAAGCGTTGTTAGAGAGTTGGATTTACAGCATGCATTGCTCAGTGCTATTAAAAAAACAAGCGGACTACCTTTTGAATGTCAGTTATTGCCACCTAAGCAAGCACAGTTTAAAATCCTTTTTTTTTTCTTTTTTTTTTTAATTCACAAAATAATATATTATTTTAAATTTATCACTGTCTAATGTGAGCTAAACTGGTGGCCTTCTCTTCTTAACCTCTGACCCGTGCATGTTCACAATACTTTATAATAAATATTACCATGTCTCTTAAATTATTGTTTGCAGATTTATTAGCATTTTCTATTAATTACATATGCTTTACTTTTATATATCATTAAGCGATATTTTCAAGTTATAATGGCATATACGACATTGGAAATCAAGAGTTTAATCAAAATGTTTGTGTATGCTTGTTTGTAATCAAAATGTTTGTTGTGACTAATTTACTAATTTTATATGATTTCAATTTGAATTCAGTATCCTCTATGACTGAAATGCATTTATGTATGCAAGAATTTTTTTATTTAAGAATCATTTCTGTTTGTTTTTTTAACCTCCTTAATGTTAATTTGTTTTTATTTATAATGTGATTTTAGTGATTATGTCCAATCATTGAAAATACTAAAAAATTAATTCTCCAATCAGGGGAATAGACATGTGATAATGTTCATGTAATAAAGTATTGATAGTGTTTTTTGGCTGAAGTGAACTCTTAAAAATTTCTTCTGACTTCAGTTAAAACACTATGTCCTATAGAATTTCTGAAGTATCATTAATACCAACAGTCTGAATTAGCAAGGAATGTCTGCATAGCATCTTGACATATGGCAATGTATGTCAAAGCAAGTGAGTTGGGCTGTGCAGAATTATTTTTTTCATTTTAATATTAGATTTCATGTCTGTTATCTTTACGAGAACCTTTGCTTGACAAACTTGCTCTAAATTTTAAAAAACTTTACACAATGTTTCATACAAAATAAGTTAAGAAAATTATAATCTGCTGTTTTTCAGTTCTTTTAAATTGTGTGATGAGTGAATGCCCGGTGTGATGAGTGAGTGCCCAGTGTGATGAGTGAGTGCCCGGTTTTATGAGTATGCCCGGTGTGATGAGTGAGTGCCCAGTGTGATGAGTGAGTGCCCGGTGTGATGAGTGAGTGCTCGGTGTGATGAGTGAGGGCCCGGTGTGATGAGTGAGTGCTCGGTGTGTCGACGGCTGGTGTTTTATTTGTTGTGAAAACATACAAGTAATCAGTGGGAATATTCTATATATCATTTACTCAGCAAAAAAGTACCCGTAGATCCATCCATCCCTGTGCACTACAGCCTATGTAGGGCTTTGGCCTGCCTCACCACTTACTTCCACTCAGACATAACTAATGCTTTTCTTTTCCATGCTTGGATTCCCAGCTGCTGTAGATCTTTTTCCACATCATCCATCCATCTAAGCCTAGGTCTGCCTTTGAGCCGTTTTCCTCTGGGGTTCAGGTGATGCACTCTCTTCACTTCTCTGTGTCCGGCCCAGGCTGCCCTTTCTTGCTATTACTAGTGTGGGATGCTCATATAGACTATACCATTCCTGGTTGCTTTGTATACTCCATCCATATTCATCCTTTGTTGGTCCGTATATTTTCTAGAGAACTTTCCTTTCCCATGTGTTTAATAGGTTTTCTGCTGTTTTGTTTAGGATCCAAGTTTATGTTACTGGTCTGATTATAGTTTTATTTATTGTTGGTTTTTTTGGTAATGTTTTTACTTTTGTGAAGTATTTTGTGCCTACTGTACCTGATATTCTTTCTTTTATTTCTGTCAAGTCATGTATTTCTTTCATTGAATTTGAATTTTTTTCCAAAGAGTGGTTTCTAATAGTAATAGTGTTTTCATCTGTCTGTTCTTCTCTTCACAGTCATTTAGTTTGTTTTTTGGTTGTTAACTTCCAGTCTTGCTTGTAGTTGTAGTGATGCGTCCTCTAATTCAATAAAAGCTTTTGATATAACTTTAATATATTTCCCTAACAGAGCTACGACCTCAGAGAGTAGAGAGTGCCTATTGGTTGTGGGTTTTGGGTATCCTGTTATTGTTCCTCGGGTGTCAATGTTTATGCTTCTTATAACTCTCCAATGTTAGGTTAAATGGCAAAATTGGCATACAAGAGAGAGCCTCTTTTACTTAAGCCTCGTCTAATCTGAAAATCCCTTGAAGATTCACCCTGAACCTTGACTTGTCTTTTTGAGTTGTTTAATGTTCTATGTATTAGTCCTAATCCACTACAGCCTTTTACATTGCATTGTCAAAATAATACAAGTTTGTAAATATTTGGTTGTTATTTCCTTGTGTATATGCCCACAGACTGGTTGGCCCCATTTCTCGTGTATATGCCCACAGACTGGGTGGCCCTATTTCTTATGTATTTGGCCACATTTCTTGTGCATATGCCCACAGACTGGGTGGCCCTATTTCTTGTGTATATGCCCACAGACTGGTTGGCCCCATTTCTTGTGTATATGCCCACAGACTGGGTGGCCCTATTTCTTATGTACATGCCCACAGACTGGTTGGCCACATTTCTTCTGTATATGCCCACAGACTTGTTGGCTCTATTTCTTGTGTATTGCCCATGCCCACAGACTGGCTGGCCCTATTTCTTGTGTATATTCCCACAGACTGGGTGGCCCTATTTCTTGTGTATACACCCACAGACTGGGTGGCCCTGTGGGAAATCTGGTACTGAATATGGGTGTGTTTTCTAAACGTATATTTGAATAGGACTCAAATTTGATTGTGATCAAAAGAGCTATATATTTTTTTTTTAAACTACAAGAATTTATTTCAGTTTATTCACTGTGCACACACACAAGAATAATATCAATATTGATTGTATTAATAACAATTAAAGATCTAGAACACATGATGGCATTTTATGCATCCATATTTATACTATAAAATATTTTTTTACAAAAAATAATGTCAATAATTTGAACATGAAATATGACTATAAAATTTTGATAATCCAAATAGTCCACTAATTTTAAAATATTAATAATGCTTGCATAACAATCTCCTGAGTAAAACAGAAACAACTCATGAGTATGGGAGAGAAAAGATTTGAAATGTTTACATCAACTTTCAACAGTCACACTTTTTTAAACCAGCAAATTTAATGTCAGACAATCACCTTGAACAAGGTACTTCATATATTAACAAAAATACTTAGAAAAGAACAATAATGACAAGATGAAACGTCCACTAAAGAAAAGAAACCATCATGATTTTTTTTTAATATCTCATCCCTCTGACTGGTTATCTAAATGATTTTGTCATATCAAACTGAACATGCAATAAAGGACTTCCTCAAAATGGTCATCAGTCTAGTATTCATGAGGAAATTATTGACAGAAGTGCATCTAAATAATCATATATTATATGTCTTAAATTTTAAAATATTTCATATTCTTTTCAATATAATTTCACTAGCAAAATAATTAAAGTTAATAATGTTTGAAGATTTTTATTGAATAGACCACATTTTAAACAGCACTTTTGTGTCATCTCCTCATTCCTTACGACAGCCTTGTGTTTGGCTTTATGATGAGAGAAGTCTTTGTGGACATTGTTGCTTGAAAGCACTACTTGATTTACAACAGCTACTTGCCCCCCATCAACTCCTCTTGTTTGGCAATTGTCATTTCATCAATCTGGTTCAGAACCTCGTGCATTAAATCTTTTACCTGGCAGTTAAAAATAAACATTTATATCAAGATTTTTGTTCATCTCGTAAGATATTGCACATAAGATATGGCACGTACTTTCACAGACCCTGCTTGTAATTATAATTGCAAATCCAAAAATAAATACTTAGCAACAGGATGCGCTCAGATTCAATCAAATAATAATTAAAATCTTGATGACTATCTCTTTACAGTTTATAAGGATGGGGAGGAGGTCAGGTTTACTTTGAAAAATTCAAAGAGTAAGGTGCACCACTTGAGACCTGTGCCACAGATCGTAGATTTTAAATTATAATTGAACATTATATTATAGTTGGTTTTTTTTTTTAAATATAATAATATTCAGGAAGCAGCTGAACTCAATTTCTATCTTCTGTCAAACAATAATAGTTTTTAAAAATTAAAATTTGCCACATATGTACCATGTCCTCGGCAGCCGAGAGGTCATCTGCAGAAAAACCATCCCTGGACTTGATTTTTTTGGAATACTTGGAGAAGACATCCCGCAGGTGTTTCTTGGACTTCTCACTTTGTAACTTTGCATTCTTGGCTAAGGTCTCTCGATGTTCTCTGGTGACTCTTAAGCAGATAGTTAATTATAGTTAATTATAAACGATAGGTAGGTCATCGCACTTACCAACATCCCTAAATCAAAATGAGAATTCTTATAAAGTTTTGGAGCAAAAAAAATGACAAATACATTTGTAAAAAAGGTTCCCTGGATGCACAGAGATGATCATAGATTCCTAACACTAGTTGACTGGATACAACTCCAATATCCTGACATCATGCACAGGGATTATCATAGATTCCTAACACTATTTGACTGTATACAACTCGAATATCCTGACATCATTGATTTGATCTTCGGGTGGTCAGAGCTTGTGTTAAAAAACCCAGCAATTTACAACTTACGGCCCCAAGGAAAGAAGGTATCACAGTGGAGGCATGACAAAAATTTAGATTTTTTTCATCAATAATCAATGTTTTTTTTAAATTCTGTTACATGTAGTGTGTTATAGATTCTCCATATTCGTTTATTTTCTTTATTTTATCTAGTTCCTATCATTAAACTTAGTACCTGATGTGGCAAAAATTGTTTCATTTAAGTCGTATTGTTAATTAAGATGTATTTCCTGAATTAAAAAATTTGATAATCAAATTGCCCTGTTAATAATGAATTCAATGTTCAACAGGACCAGAAGTCCCTTCTCACACACCCCTCCTCTAAACCCATGCCATTCCACATCTAGAGACCAGAAGTCCCTTCTCACACACCCCTCCTCTAAACCCATGCCATTCCACATCTAGAGACCAGAAGTCCCTTCTCACACACCCCTCATCTAAACCCATGCCATTCCACATCTAGAGACCAGAAGTCCCTTCTCACACACCCCTCATCTAAACCCATGCCATTCCACATCTAGAGACCAGAAGTCCCTTCTCACACACCCCTCCTCTAGACCCATGCCATTCCACATCTAGAGACCAAAAGTCCCTTCTCACACACCCCTCCTCTAAACCCATCCCATTCCACATCTAAAGACCAGAAGTCCCTTCTCACACACCCCTCCTCTAGACCCATGCCATTCCACATCTAGAGACCAGAAGTCCCTTCTCACACACCCCTCCTCTAAACCCATGCCATTCCACATCTAGAGACCAGAAGTCCCTTCTCACACACCCCCTCCTCTAAACCCGTGCCATTCCACATCTAGCATACAACAGAGAAATTAACTCCTTTATTTTTTAAGACTAAAATGGAACAAACAAAATTTTAAAAACTAAGTTCTTAGAAAAATATTGTGAAACACTCTCTGTAAACTGGTCAGTGGTCTAGATTTACAAGTAGATCTAGTGGTCTAGATTTACAAGTGGATCTAGTGGTCTAGATTTACAAGTGGATCTAGTGGTCTAGATTTACAACTGGAGCCGTTGTTCTGCAGTGGCACACAAAGAATGGCATTCATAATAAAAGGAATGCCAACAAAGAATAGTTTTCACTAGAAAAGGGATTGTATTAAAAATGTATATGAGGATCATGCCAAGAACATTGTAGAAGTTGCCAGTTCCTCTCCTCACACTTGAATTTGCCACTGCACTGAGCTAAAAGATGGGTGACTTGATTTAAAAACATGTTAGATAAGTTATTTACTTGGGTATAGGTATGAACAGGCTTGTTCCATCCTGCTGAGGGTTTATGTTCATTCCTGAGCCTGCGAGCGCCTCCTTGACCTGACCGATGTACTGTGCACAAGAAAATACTACAGTCACATCATTTTTAATAATGAAATAAAAATATCAAATCTGGTTGTTTCCCAAGTTATTATTTATTTTTTATAGTGTCAATAACAGGATAAATTTATCATTTAAATACATCGTGGAAAATAGGATTTTTTTATTTATCAATGAATAAGAATATATATATTGATGGAAATTATTGGAAGCTCTTCATGGAAAAGTCCATTGTTTCATTTTTAATCTCACTTTTTTATCACCTAACATCTGAGATGTCAGTAAAGTTATTTAACCTAAACTTTGCTACTGATATACATCTCAAAATTCGATTCATCATGCGACAGTTCTTAGACCACATTATGATAGTATACCTGTGGACTAGTGGTTAGGTCAATGGTCAAAAGCTGTGGTGATTTCTGCACAATCTGGCCCAGCTGTATCAACGGAAAGTTTCCTTCGGGTGTTTTAACCACAAGGTTGTCAAAAACTCCTAGAGATGAGATTGAATGTCTGATGAAACTCTACATTTAAGGGTTTGATATTTGGTATCATTTGGAACTAACTCCTTACACATCGGCCCTTCAATTTCAGATAAACAACTATGGTAAACATTTATTTTATTGTTTATTTGGATGAGTAAATGACAAAATTAATTAACAATTACCTTGTGACGTCCTCACAGTTATGTGATGTATGAATTGTTCTTTAAGTTCGTCTAAAACATGGGTAAAGTCTTGTCTCACCTTCTCCATGTCAACTAATCCCTCTAGCTGCTCTGGGGTCAAGGTCATTTTCTTGTGTGCTTTGCCTCCTGATATTCATTTAACAAGATCATCATTTTGGTTGCACATTTCAAGCATTGTAAAGTAATCGAGTTAAACCATTACTTTAAAAAATATTTCCCTTATTTGCAATAAAATGGCAAATGTATGCTTGAAATCTGTAACTATTAAAAGACAAAAATAATATTATTAGGTAAAAATTACTAATTTTTCATTGAAAGTACAGAGTATTAAATCCATACGTTGAAAAATTGGGGCATAAATTAGGTTTTTGGGTACTATACATTAAGGAACACACGTTATGTCCATATTTTCATGTAAATAAATAGCTCACCTTTATCTTTGCCTTTTTTAGCATATGTTCGACACACACACCATGTCATGGAAGTGGGCTGTAATATGTTGATACCTGAGTGGTTGAATTTTGGTAATTGTGGCTTAAATGATAGCTGAAGCCTATCAGGTGAAATCCTACCAAATGTCTCATGGTATTGTGACATCTGATATACATTGTATTGAGATGCTCTCATAAGTCTGGTAAATACATTGACATTTGTGAGGTAAGATCTAATTAGGCTCATACTTGTACTCCTCAGAACTCTATGATATGCTGGGGAAAAGAACTATTTTATTAAAAGGCAAATAATTAAATACGACTTTAATTTTAAATTTAAAATAGTTCATTACTCTTAAGTTTGACTCATGAGAAGAACAAGAATCAAACTTTTTAACATTTTATAAAGACACTTTTTTAGCATACAAAATATAATATAAGTCCTAGACCTAAGCACAAGCAAGGTAGTAATAACTAAAACAAAGGGACTGGATTGGGTGAGTTCAGCCCTATCAATAATTGCGGCTTCTCAGAGATCAATTTTTTATTGTGGCAATGCGCACAACAATCAACTATTCCTGTTTCCCCCCTCATGCCGACAACACGCCGTTATCACCAGACTATAACTAAATCTATCAAAATATCTGATAAATGTCTGTCATTGCACTGCGCAGGACCAGCAGTAATAAAACAAAAAAACCAAGCTGAGACTGCGCTTGTTGTCCTCTCTCTTCATCTTTGGTGTTCTCACATATCCCACAATAAAGTCACTACGCACTAAGTTTAGTTGATTGGAATTAAAATTATAATAATCCATCTGCATGTAATAATAATAATATGTAAATGTAAAACAAAAAAGTCAACTTCAATGAAACTGACTGAATAATGAATGTTCATTGTTATTTATTTTGACCAAATACTCTTTAGTTAGTAGGATATGCACTCGACCTCTGCACTCGATCCCATTATTAAGATTATTTTGCTGAATAAAATGCACATTTTTTTAATATGAAAACATAAATTAACATGTATTAAAGAAACAGTTTTTTTTTTACAAGTAATAATCTTAATGCAGTATTATGTAAAACTACAATCAACAGAATTTGGTCCCGGAATGAGGTGATCAAATCCAAAATCTTAGTTATCATAGTAATAGCCTATAGTAATATCCCTTAAAAAAGGATAGGCAAACTCACATTTTCATATCATATTTTTAATGAAAAAGCTACTACTCCGATTTAATTTTTGATTATTTGTTTTCCATAAAACTGTACACTTTTTGTATAATTAATAATGATTCTTTTGGTCACCACTAAGGCCACGTTCTACCCATAGAAAATTATGTATAGGATAGGATGCTTTGTGTGCTATCCATCACATAATTTATGCAATAGGCGCGTCTTCCCCTACCCATCACTGACCTAACTAAAATGCTGAGGCAATCCAGCAATGGCAATACAATAAAGGCACAATGAAAATCATATTATATGACCCGAATAATTGGTAGCCAAAGAAGAAAGAATCATATTTATAAGTCTGAGACTGACTGAGAGGCTAGAGAGAGTAAAGCAGGGCTGGCCCAATGGTTTAAGTTTATAGCAGCCCAGGCAAGCTCTGAGGTAAGTGAGGTAGAGCCTGAACGAGTTGAAGAGCACCACTTCACTATTTAGTACTGTTTAGGCTAAGGACGAATACTTATTACTAAAATCAATTAGCATTTAGTCTACATATTTTTTATTTCGAAATTGAAAAATATATTTGACGCAAGGGGCAATTACCAGTAGGCAATTTTTTTATTTTTTTTTAGTAATACAAATTAATAAAAATAAGATTCTAGATTGGTTTACCAGGCGAAGTGTGTGAGCAAATATTTTGTATTGATAAATTTGAAGTGCTCTCCCCTGTTTAAGTTGTCTAATAATCTATAAATGAAGTATAAACACCATAAACCAACATAAATCGCATAGTTGGCGAACAGGCTGCAAAAGAATGAATAAAAACAAATTTAGAACACAATGACAAAGCACTACTGATTTCAAAAGGTATTTCCCCATTATTAGAGAATCATTAAAGAAAAATGTTCTATCTTCTCTATCGTTTATGTACAGATATATATATATATATATATATATATATTATATATATATATATATATATATATATATATATAATATATTATATTTTATATATATTTTTTTTTGTTTTTNTATATTATGAACGTAATTGTACTACTCAATTGCAATAATTGTTGCCCAACAAAAAATGACTGGAAAATACTTTTTTCTCTTCTCACTCCCCGTCTTAAAGGCCATCCAGGCCATAGACGACGTCACTGGCGTTTAAAAAAAAAGGGGGGGGGGGGAATTAACGAATTTGTGACGATGTGTGATAATGGTGTCTAATTTGTATTTAAAATGTGTATCAATTCGGGGTAGAGGAGGTGTCCGAAATCTACCGAAATCTACCGAAATTTCCGGACGTCATTAATGAATGACCCCCTTAACCCCATACCTTAGGCAGTTGAGTAGCTCGGCTTGTTAGAGCCACCCGGGGCGATCCAAGGTTTTTGCGGCCCCCAATCTGTCCCATTAAAAAAACTCTGCTGTTGGCCGCAAATTACGTCAATTTATCTATATACAGTACCTCCAAAATCGGACCACCCATTTCACCCCACCTTTTTTTTTTTTTTGCCCCTCATTTAATTTATCGATAAATGCGGAAAGCTAAACTTTCTAGACAAGTATCCATTGCACCCACGATGATGCCCTATCGTTATAGTTTATAGATCACTGTGCTGAATGTGGGTTTAACCACACACAATTAGGTGCTTTAATAGTATCTATATTTATAATTCACCAGCAAAGGTCAAACACCACCACCACGATGGCTATATTTAGATAATGAGTTCACTAGCGCGCAAAATATAATTCCCGATAACTAGGCTAAATCATTTATTTATTTTTTTAATGACGCAACTTCGTTTGGTGCGTAATATTTTTCGATAAACGAAATCGTCTCAATTGAAGGAGGGTGTAAAAAAAAAAAAAAATCAGTTTAAAAGTGTTTGGGACATCAGAATATTAATGTAGCAAATGGGCGTGAAAAAAAAAAATTTTTCGAAAAACGAAATCGTCTCAATTGAAGGAGGGTGTAAAAAAAAAAAAAAATCAGTTTAAAAGTGTTTGGGACATCAGAATATTAATGTAGCAAATGGGCGTGAAAAAAAAAAGTGTGCAGTGACGTATCATTGGGGGGGGGGCGCATGGTGTAGCAAAAATTGGAATTCATAAATGTGCGATACTTGAGTTCATGTTTTGTCAAGTAACTTGAGTAGATGGGAAGTTCACGCATTGCCGTCGCCAATGTTTGGCAGGCTATAACTAGTATCTATAAATAAGTTAAGTTTTGGCATGCATCTCGTGGACTCTATGTCACTCTATGACGTCATTCGTCCCGCTGCTACTGCACATTACACAGTATCACTCGATTTATTATGCGCTCTATCTTAGTGTGTTAAAGAAGTGATCAATGGCGGTCACGGAACACTATTTCTGTGCAGGGCCGGCCCATACGGCTGCTGGCGCCCCGGAAAAGCTTAACTTGACACCCCTTTTAAGTATTATCATAACATGTTTGCAAGGAAAGACCTAGGTGTAAATTAACGAGTTTATTAAATTGGTCATTTTTTTTAAACTTACAATCAACAATGATCTGTTTTTCCTTAACCTGTATTTTGACAGCATTAACATTTTTGTCTAGCCTTGAGATCGCACAATCTTTTTATTGCACTTTCTATATTTATATTATTTGTAATATCATTTTCTACTTCATTCATTCACGAGACGTCGTTAATATGGTTTTAAAAGCTTTATCTTTTTGCAGTTACTCCTTTCTTAACATTATATGACATCTCGCCAGCTACACGCCACTCCTGTACCACGGTTATATATGACATCTCGCCAGCTCCACGCCACTCCTGTACCACGGTTATATTATATGACATTATCTCACCAGCTCCACGCCACTCCTGTACCAAGGTTATATATGACATCTCGCCAGCTCCACGCCACTCCTGTACCAAGGTTATATATGACATCTCGCCAGCTCCACGCCACTCCTGTACCAAGGTAATATATAACATCTCGCCAGCTCCACCCCACTCCTGTACCAATTTTATATATTACATCTGCTGTACAAACGTTTTTTTGGAGATCATATCTGTTTAATATTTTTCATGACTCCTAAATTGTTGCTAAATGACGTCACGCCCTCAGAATATATTTTACATGACACATCCCACTCGTCACCCTCAACCCCCTTCTAGGCCATCCAAAAATGTTGCACATCATCAAAACAGCATACAACATACAACAAACATTCTAATTAAATGTCTAAAGTTTTTGACACATGAACATCGTGCCAACAGCATCTTGCTTACACCAGTGTCAAGACGCCACGAAATGTAATTACAAAAATGTTAATCGAAACAAAATAGCTACAGCGACATTTAAGAACTACGTGGAGTATCAGTTGATTTAACAACTGATTAACGTCTAAATAACTGAACACTGCTCTGAAGAGGACATATAATGGTCTTTTTAAGATAACACTATTCTTGTTTTAAAGTTGACATATTATTGTTTTCTTAAATAAAATGTTTTCTTAAATAACAACATCTTCTTGCAGAAGAAATTGGGTGGGGTGTTGTTTCGGGGGAAAAGGAAAGGGCGTTTCGTAGGAGGGGGTGGTCTATGGAATCCGTACAACGTTTGAAACTACCAAGGGTGATTTAAACAAGAAGTCTATATATTATTAATTTATCTTGGTGGTCCACTACACAGCAAACTATAGTGTTGAGCACTACAGGAGAAATGGGGCTGATCAATTACGGCGCCCGCTCTACACTATGAAAATCCGCTTTAGGGCGCCTACCTGTTAGTTTTGAATCCGCCACTGTGATTGGTGCAATATTTTGCGTAGTGCCATTTTGTAAAATTTCAAATCCACCCTGCTAATCTTTAGCAGCTGACAGACATGGATGGCTTTAGTGACAGACATGGCGTTAGTGACCGACATGGCGTTAGTGACAGACATGGCGTTAGTGACAGACATGGCGTTAGTGACCGACATGGCGTTAGTGACCGACATGGCGTTAGTGACAGACATGGCGTTAGTGACAGACATGGCTTTAGTCAACGGAACCCAGGAGGACCCATTAGCAGCTATTTAAAAAAAAATTATTTTGGTTTATGCCTGGGTATATATTATGTGATAGAGTAATACTTGATCGGGCCCCGTGTTTTACCATGCATAGCCCCAATTCAGGGTCGACTACACAGGAGGACTAAACTCCCTTGGCCTGATGGGGGCTAGTTTCAGTGGTCCTTTTCAGGTGCTGCCATTTTCCAGCGGCCACTTCAACAGTGGTGCGTGCTTTTTTTTTTTGTGCACAATAAGACACGTGTACTTTACACCACCTCCCCACTTAACAGGGATGTGCCCGAGGCTGCACAACCCCACTTAACAGGGATGTGACCGAGGCTGCACAACCCCACTTAACAGGGATGTGCCCGAGGCTGCACAACCCCACTTAACAGGGATGTGCCCGAGGCTGCACAACCCAACTTAGCTGGAACGTAGTTCTTAACTCATCACCTGAGGCTGGACTCATTGAAATCAGCAGATCTTACTTAATTGTTTAACTAATGGCGCGAAAAGCTTAAAACTGTAATACTATAGGCATCCATTGGCATGCTTATTTGCTCTATGATATAATTGGGGGGGGGGGCATCAATAGTTGGTTTTTTTTTAAACCAAGGGACACAGTCAAATGAATTTTGGTAACCGTTTAATTTAAGTGGGGTTCGTGGGGGGGGGGGGGGGGNATGATAACAGCCATGTGCTAGCACATATTTGTGTAATACAGTGGGTAGCTTAGAGGGGCAGAAGGGTACATATGTCCCCTCGCGCCAAACTAGTTGGGGCGCCAAAATGGGCGTGATGTTATTTTATTCAAGAAAATATTGGGTTAAAAAAAAATTGTAAAGAGGGGGGGGCATTAAAAATTAACCTTGTCCAGGGGCTCCAACCACTATTTACGCTTCTGGTGTAATAGTTCTATATTCTAAACAATAAAAAAATTGTATTTGGCTCAACAAATCCCATTGTTAATTTCGAGACGATAAAATGCAACCCTTGCCAAACACAATAATACGTCACAAAGTTGTCTGAGTGAGCTGGCGAAGTTCAAGGTCGTTTTAACGACGTCCACAGTATTCGTCCGATTAGTCACAAGGACACATTTAATTTAGTTAGTGCGCATTCTCAACGTAAAATGGCGTGATATTAAACTTGGTTTAGAGAGTGTATGATGATAGTGAAACAGTGGCGTAGAAGGGGTGTGGGGGTGTGGAGGGGTGGTACTACCCCCACCGGGCTGCACTTTTTTTTCTTGTCATTTTCGGCTAACAGCAGAGTTTTTTTTTCATTTTACGGGGGCGGCAACATTTCTGTTCCGCTCCCGTGCGGCACTAACTTTAGCACCGTCACTGGGGTGAAGTGTTTCAAGATCAGTGACGACCATATAGCTGATATACTCTCTACCTAAAAGAGAGACACCCTTGATTTGAATATAGTGTCGGAGAGTTTGACAATGACATGTTGTGACCTAATGGTTGCTACTGCAAGCTGTAGAACAGCTAGTGTAAGTGATGACCGAGGTGGTGCTTGATGTCTGTGACGGCATAGGTGGTGCTTGATGTCTGTGACGGCATAGGTGGTGCTTGATGTCAGTGAAGACCTAGGTGGTGCTTGATATCTGTGACGACCTAGGTGGTGCTTGATGTCTGTGACGACATAGGTGGTGGTTGATGTCAGTGACGACATAGGTGGTGCTTGATATCTGTGA